ATAAAAATACATATTATACAAAATGCATAAAATAGCTACAGAAAATAGGCAGCTATACTAAATAGCCTATCACTTCCTTTTTCATAAATTGTTCACCTTTCTTCTAAATTATTTCCAACTGAAAAGCAGTTAAATGAGAATCATATATTATGAGTTACTATTAAAAGTATCACATTAGGACTCCTAAGAATTATATAATATTAAGAAATGTTAAAATTATGTTAAAGTCTCTTGCACAGAGATTTAAGAGAGAGCTTTAAGAGTTCCATCCTTTGCCAAAAACACTGGCATTCAAGTTAAACTCTCAGTAGCATGCCTAGCTCATTAAGATTAACCATTTTTTAAGTGCACATCATGCTAGAAGCGAAACACAAGTCCGGACTCATAAAGTGCATGAACATCACTGCTGTCATTTTATTACCCACTTCTTCCCTTTGCCTTAAAGCTGCACACAGGTCACCTCTGGGTACATTTTTCTTTTCTGCTTGGCCACATGCTCCTCTAATCCTCCAGTCAGCCTACAAATCTCACCTTTCAGCTTTCCTTATTTTCGTTTCCATATTTTTCACTTTGCTGCCCAAACTGTTTTGAGTATCCTCAGCACTCACACTGCACACCAGGTACCACATGATCCATTCACAGCCATCCTGAGGATTCACTGGCATGGGTCCGATACAAGAAATAAAAGCCTTGGAAATAAGCTGCTTACAAAAGCAGATCTCTCTGATGCTGCATCATCCTCTAATGTTTCACAGGGACTCCTTGTTTGTGTTTCAGTATAGACTACAGATCCCTCAGGGCAAGAACCAAGTAATTTACGACATAATTAAAAAAACCCACGGCATTATACTAATTCATTCTTCAAAGAGATATCCTGAGATAATGGTACATATCACTCACCTAAATCTGCAAGCAATATGCTATCTATCAAAAGCAGGTAACTGTCAGTTAAGGTAACTTCCAAGTACCACGCATGCAGGTCACTCAGTAATCTGGTCCACCCACAGCCATGTTTCACAAAATCAACATGGGGCAAGTTTAAGCACCTAATTTAAAGGTGTTTAAGGTATTTCTGTTGGTATTTTCTTTAAACACTTCTAGTAACTGTTTTCACCTGCTCCAGGATGCAGCAAACACTTTAGAAGTAAGCATCCCAGTTTGCATGGTGGCCCTAAGTGCCTGCTTCAGGCAACACGGGATTGTGCCACAGCCATGGTGGTGGCACGACAAGGCTCCATCCCCAGCACCCACTGGAGAAAATACCCTTGGAAATCAGAGGCCTCAATCAAGACAGAGCTCCAGAGTGAGCATGCTGCCACCCAGGACTAAGCCTGCAAGGTGACATTACCCTCATGGCAGGAGATACACTCTGGTTGGGGCACTGAGTCACCAGCAAAAGGCACTGCAGGAGGAACACACTCTATAGCATCACAGAGAATAAACAGGACACAAACAGGGCTACCTCAGGGACCTTGCAAAGGTTTCTGGAGGACATCCGGGTAAGTGTCTTCATACAGACACTCATAAGTCATATTTTAGATCTGCAACTAAGGAAGAACTCATTGGGGATATGATAATCACTGGCAGCTTTGGTTATAAAAAACATGAAACAGCGAAGTAATGAAGGCAAGTAGCAGAACACAGGCCATAGGCTTCAGGGAAAGAAATGTCTGGATCATCAGGGTCTGAGAATGGTGGTTACTGGTTTATACTCTAACCTGGAGGCTGATTACAAGTGAAATATCACAGTGGCCTGTAAGACCCATGCAACTTAGTATCTTTACCAATGCCAAGAAAGAGCTGGAGCATCTCCCAACAAGTTGTGGATGAGGGAAAACTAGGGAAATGATTGATAATTCTTGAGGGTAGAGCTACCATTCAGAAGGAACTAGACAGGCAGGAGGAATGGGCCACAATGACAAATACGAAGTCCAGAACCCATGACAGACTACACCCATGCAGTGGTTCAGGTGAGGGACTGACTGGATAGAGAACATCTCTGAAGAAAACTCTGGAGCCAAACACTAGCCAGCAGGGTCCCTTGGTAGTGATGAAGACTAACAGCATCAATAGGACGCACTGGCTGTATCAAAAGGAACACAGCCAATAGACTGAGGGAAGTTCTTACTTTACTTGGCACTTGCTGGACCACATTTGGGCCACTTTGGGGACCTGAATACAAGACAGACTTCAATAATCTGGGGCAAGTTCAGCGAAGAATAAACAGAATGGTCAGAGGGTGGAGAATCTGCTCTGGGAGAGGAGGCTGAGGGCCCTAGCATTGTTCAGATTGAACAGGAATCTAAGGCGCTCCCAAGTACTGACAGAGAGGTGACCGATGGAGCAATGCTCTTTACAGTAGTAGCCGACAGCACAATGAGAGATTACAGTCATAAACTGAAACAAGAAGTTCTGATATAAGGAAAAAAAAAACATAACTGTGCCTGCACATTCAAGATCAACAAACAAAACAAGTGCTTTGTCCAAATCAGATCCTCCTGCATGGCAAGATTCCAATAAAGAAATGTGAAGTGCAGGTCCATAACAAAGTCAGGGGAAAGTTCGTCAATTTTTAAACCTTCAGTCTTTACCACTAAGATCAGTCCTTAGGAACCCCAGTCCCTTGAGATAAGAGAAGTCTGGAGGAAGGCTCTCCATTGGTTGATGAGGACTGGATTAGGAATTATCCAGGCAAACTGAACACTCACAAACCCATGGACCTAGATGGGATCTACCCATGCACGCTGAGTGAGCTGACAGATGTTTTTGCTATGCCACTCTCCATAATTTTTGAAAGGTCATGAAGAATGGAAGAGGTGCCTGAGGACTAGAGGAAAACCAGAGTCACTCTAGTCTTCAAAACAGGAAAGAAGGATGACCCAGGATATTACAGACCAGTCAGCCTCATCTTCAAGCACACGGAGGAACAGAAAGTCATCAGGAATAGTCAGCATGAATCCCACAAGGGGAAATCACGCTTAACTAATATGACAGCCTTCTGTGATGGTGTGACTAGCTGGGTAGGTGAAGGGAGAGCAGTAGATGCTGTCTACTTTGACTTCAGCAAGGCATTTGATACTGTTTCCCATAACATCCACATACATAAACTCAGGAAATGTGGGTTAGATGAGTGGACACTGAGATGGATCAAGAACTGGCTAAACAATAGAGGTCAGATGGTTATGATCAGTGGTGCATAGTCCAGTTCGAGGCCTGTAACTAGTGCTGTTCCCTAGGGGTCAATACTGGGTCCAGTCCTGCTCAATATTCATCAAAGACCTGGATGAAGGAATGGAGTGTACCCTCAGCAAGTCTGATAACGATACAGAATGGGGAGGTGTGACTGATGCACCACAAGGCTGTGCTGCCATTCAGCGAGATTTGGACAGGCTGGAGAGCTGGGCAGAGGAGCCTAATGAACCTTAAGAAGGATAAGTATAGAGTCCTGCACCTGGGGAGGAATAACCCCATGTACCAGTTCAGGTTAGGGGCTGACCTGATGGAAAGCAGTTCTGCAGTGAAAGACAAGTTAAGCATGAGCCAGCAATGTGCCCTTGTGGCCAAGAAGGCCAAAAGTATCCTGGGATGCATTAAGAAGAGTGTGGCCAGCAGGTCAAGGGAGGTTCTCCCCCTCTACTCTGCCCTGGTGGGCCATATCTGGAACATTGTGTCCAGTTCTGGGCTCCCCAGTTCAAGTGAGACAGGGAACTACTGGAAAGTCCAATGGAGAGCTATGAAGATCACCAAGAGACTTGAACATCTCTCTTACAAGGAAAGGCTGAGAGACCTGGGGCTCTTTAGCCTGGAGAAGAGAAGGCCGAGAGGGGATCTTATCAATGTTTATAAATATTTGAAGGGTGAGTGTCAAGAGGATGGGGCCATACTTTTTTCAGTGGTGCCCACCAAAAGGATGAGGGGCAACAGGCGCAAATTGGAACACACCAGGTTTCACCTCAACATCAGGAAAAATTTTCCTGCAAGGGTGACAGAGCTCTGGAACAGGCTGCCCAGAGAGTGGAATCTCCTTCTCTGGAGACTTTCAAAAAAACCCTGGGCATGTTTCTGTGTAACTTGCCTTAAGTGAACCTGCTTCAGCAGGGGAGGTTGAACTAGATCATCTCCAGAGGTCCTTTCCAACCCCTACCACTTTGTGATTCTGCTGTACATGATAGTTTGATAAACAGGAGTTATTTGAAAAAGGCAGACTGTGAGACTTAATTAAAAGTGCTGGTCCTATTCAACAGAGATGAAAGTATAACATGGTGTTTTGTAATTCTCTGAATGAAGGCCCATACAGCAACTCTGAAAATTTCTATAAAAAGAAAATACCTGCAACACCCAGGAAAGCCACCTCTGTACACATAGGCATGATTTAACCCCCCTTAACAGAGGGACACCATTTCCTTTGCAGTTCTCTTCAGTATAGAACCTGATCGTGCAGATAGAATACCTCCTATGCATCTCAGTTATATCCAGTTTTTATTCCGCCAAGGCTGGTTGTGCTTACAGAACTTACTGAGGGGGAAGGAAGACAAGAGTATGGTAACCATTTCCCAAACATGGACATTCCTAATTTATCAGGACTGAACAACGTGTAGATTGCCACAGTGCAGGAGACTGCCCTGACTGCCCTTCTCCTTATCAAGTCACACGCTTCATAGAAGCATCTGGTCATGAACCACCAGCTCTGGATTTTCCCTTTCAACAGTTTACAAGATTTCTGAGCCCGAATCAGAAAACCATATAAACCAATGCAGAGAAGATTTTTATTTTAAAAATAAACCAAAATTAACAACACATTTAAAATGTGTAGCATTAACCTTAACTCTTATTCAAAATTTCAATGCTCAGAAAGTTTTAATCTGGATTAATCTTTTATGGATTGGATCATACTCTGCTGCTACTTCAGGAAGAAAATGAGCTGGTCAGTTAATCTTCACAACTACTATAAGGGTACTCTCCACTGCAAAACTTAAATCTCTTTCTTACACACAACTTACCAATAGCCTTTGTGTAATGTCTGGCTCCAAGTAACAGCTCTGGAGCTCTGTACCAGAATGTCACCACAACTGGATCCAAGTCTGCCAGTGGCTTCAAAGGTGAGTTGAACAATCTTGCAAACCCCATATCAGCTGCAGGGAGTGTGGAGAAAACATTTAAAATTTTAATATAAATAAATCATAATTTAACAGTATTGCCAAAAAGCAATTCCAACAAAAGCTCAAAAACATTAAAACCTGCAAATCAAAGTTTTTAAGAAAGCAGTGTAACAACACTGGGCCAAATTTATGTAAGGCTAAATTCTACTTACTTAATTTATAAGGCTATGAAGAATGATGTTTGAATTTTAAGTGTTTTCACTGTGGTATTTTAAAACTTCAGATGCCTGTTTATTTAAATAGAACTGTAATAGAAACCTGGTTAACTAAAGTCAACAGTAACAGGTCTCTAATGTACATTTTTATTTGTTTACAAACTGTGAGCCCTTGTGACTGCTAAATATTTACCCGAAGTGCAAAACCAAAATGACTGCAGTGTAGATTGTTTTGCACTGCTTATCAAAGCATGCCTCCTGCTTGATTTGAAGGAATGAACTCCAGAATGAGGAAAAAGTTAACTGGGAATTAACAAGATCAGTGGGTGTACACCGTTACAGACATGCATTTTAAATGTAAGCATACATTTTCTATAACTCAAGAGTTCTCTTTAGAAACAACCTTGTAAGTAACAATAAGAAATGCTAGATGGTTAAGTACAAGATTTGGGTATATATCCAAAACAACACATTTTAATCCAAGCTTGAAACTTATCTTTTACACCATTTCACCCAAATCTTTCCATTTCCAAAGTTTTGAAATGCTGAGTATAATTTTCTTGCAGTTACCCATACCAATACAAGCACAGGAATCAAAACTGGTTAGCTGAACATTTTCAGATACAACAAGAGTCAACGGAAAGAAAAGAGGTTCCAGTATATTTATTCTGTCTTGATGATTGCCACACGTTTTATTAAAAAAAAGTTTACGTCCACATGACTAAGACTTATGATCTACACAGTTAATTAGACATTGGATAAAGACTATCACAGTGACATGTGTTTCCCACCTTGACACCAAATAGCCTTTAGCACAGCAAACTTTTGGACCTCTACAAACATGAGCGCTGATGATATTTATGTAAAAATAATAACGAGCAAATACAATTTCTGAGTAACAATGTTATACTAACTAATCATAACAGAAGTCAAAACAATCCTTGCCATAGCCATTGTTACATGTGATTATGACTTTGTTGTTTCTTACAGATGCTTTTATCTCATCAGATAGCCTTGCCAGGTTTCATAAATCATGATTCCATTCATAAATGGAACCTCTTAAGCTTACAAATTCAGTGAATGAGACTTGAAGTTGAACTAGATGTTGTGCATACATACACTCAAAGAATAATGATTTATTTCTACCTTATACTGAAGAAGCAATCTTAAAGTAATTCCTTAACTGTGCAAAGAAATTTTTTCAAATTGTTTACCTATTTTGACTCGTCCTCTTTCAGGACCTTCACCCATTACCAGGATGTTTGCTGGTTTCTGGAAAACAAAAACCAGAATATACAGTTGATGAGCTTCTGATGATCATCTTCAAGAATACTAAAAATACATACATTTATTTTATTATGAAAACATTTTTTAAAATACCCTTAACAAGTCTAAAATTACCATACCTTTATGTTTTGCTGACATTTAGCTTTTATCCCTAGTTACCAGTTTCACAATTAGAAAAATAAAGTACTTTGATATTTCACAGTAAAAAATGCAATCATCAATTAAATTTGCATTTCCCTTTTTACCAAAATGATCATGTTCATTGGTGAGATTTTATTCTACAGGAAAATTCTATACCAGGCAAATGTTTATGCTATGCATCAGTAATTTGGCAGGAACTACTTTTCTAGTATAACTTATAGAAAATTATGCCAAATCTTGGTATGCAAATGCATAGATGAGAGTTGCTTTTGTTATCATCACATAACTACATTTTTAGAGTTGTGCTTGTTTTTAGTGTATTTATGACAAAAAAAAAGAAAAACACACTGGCAAAAGCTTTTTTTTTTTTTCCCCACAAAATAACTTGATTTCATGCTATGAGAATTCACTTAAAACAGGAATATACACAAACAGTTACATCCACAGGCTTTTAACAGTGTAGACAGCAGCTTTACAAGTAAAACAAAACCTTTATAGGCATTTTATGCTATCTGCAGTTGTTTGTGACCAACCATATAAAATCTGCACATGACATCACAGCAATTGTTCTGCAATTAGGATCTAGGTTCCCCCAGACATCAACAGTCACTCCTTGGAAGCTTTCCCCCTATTGTGTTAACAGCTGTAAAGAAGTAAACAAGATTAAAAACATTAAGTGATTTGAATGAAGAGATGCATAACAAAGTTTCAAAGCAGAATTTTTGGAAGGTTCATTCTAACACCAATTCTAATTTCTGAAGAGGTCTGCTCGAGCAGGATTTGTTTAAAAATCTCGAAGAGATGTCCAGAAAGCCAACACCAGAATTCCATTTAATTTCTCAGTTCTTAACACTTGCCACTATTTACCTGAAACGAGACATTCAAACTACAGTTACTAATTTGGCTTAAAATTTCAAATCTTCAGTTTTGTTTTTTTTTTTTTAAAAAGTAAAATGAACAAATAAAAAAAGCACTACTTCACCTATTCTTTCTCTCTCCCCCCAGGAAGTTCTCCCTTCCCACCTCGCTTCTGGTGCTAGACATTGCTTCTTCCCTGGCTCCAGCCACAGCCTCTCTTTCCAGATGACATTAGTTCTTTTACTCCTCCATTTTTATATTCTCAACACCCTCCCTGACTTCTCATTCCTCTTCATGTTTTTGGAACCCTTCAAGATGGAATATACACTCCCTTCTTGGATAATGCAGTAGCTATTTTAATTGATCTTGAGTAAACATTCACCAGCAAGTCTAGTAAATACAAAGATGATGCTTGCTCTTAGCTAATATTTAGTGATAACGAGCTCAACACTTCAAGGCAACTAGTCAAACTCTAGTTTTACATTTATGTATTACTCTGAATTGAATATTCTGGAGGACAGAACAATCCCATTCTGCATATTCAGAAACAAGGCAGTAAGGGAAGCATGCAAGTTCACATGATTTTTTACCTCTGTTAGAAATTACATAGCTAAAATTTTCCCAACCAAACCAGTAAAATTCCATTTTCTTGTCGGAATTCTCCCCTAAAATCCTGCCCAGCAACCTTGATTGAGAGCTAAGTATGAATCAAAACCACTGTAACAGACTTTTATATTCAGGATAGAATTTTAGGCACTATGAAATGCATTTATTTGACAAGTGAACAAAGCTGATAAAAAATGTAGTTACTGCACTGATTTCTAGGTTTCTTTTTTGTAAAGAATTACATTGTAAGAAATAAGCTGAATAACAGCAGATCTACTAACATAAAATTTAAAACCTAAGCAGACACAACAGGATTCTCAAAACATCTAAAAACCATGTTTTCTCTGTAATAATACAAGATTCCTCAAGCAGCAATTTTTCCATAGAAAAATTACTATTTTATCAGCTGATATAAACCAGAACATTCACAGAATAGTTCAGGTTGGAAAGGAGCTCTGCAGATCAAGTCCAGCCGCCCTCCTCAAAGCAGGGTTAACTATAGCAACTTGCTCAGGCCTGAGTCCAGCTGGATTTTCAGACATCTTCAGGGATGAAGACTTACACTGACTTTGTAAGATCCCCCCTGAGCCTCCTTTTCTTCAGCCTGAACAGTCCCAGCCTCCTCAGCCTCAGAAAGACTCCCCAAACCCCTAGGCAACTTAGTGGGCCTACACATACAGGGGATACACTAGGTTAGAATCTAGGAAGCAAGGGTCTTGTCCATTTAACTATTTTTAAGCCAGAATATTTTGAAGAGATGTTGTTCCTTTTAAAATTTAAATCTGTACTAATATGTAACCCACTGAGGATCAGAATTCTGCTCATGGCAGTCAGCAGAGATTTATGGATTTACCACATTACATACCCATTAGCTCTTGTGAATCTCTCAGAGACTTGGGGAGAGGGAGAGAAACAAAACAGAGAATGAATGAAATGTGAAGCAATTGAAAACTTAGTTTCATTTCCAAAATAGCAAGTACTTTTCCTAAGGTACCACCACCAATGTGACAATGTGGAGATGACAGGCATTTCACTGGTGGCATCTTCATGCCTGCAGGATCCCCACTGATCTGCAGATAGCTGTCTCAATAACAGCTTGCATTGTAGCAGCTTCCTACAAGGTGAGAAGTTTTCATCAAACCTGTGCCTTAAGTCAGAAGGAGGACACATCTGAACTTCTTATTTCCAACATGAGCAAATTAACCACTTGGTTATCACTCTCTAAAAGGTAAGAACTTTCTGAGCTCCTCTTGTTAATCAGAGCTGTTCTGGTTAGGAAAGCATTTTCAACTCTAATGCATGCTGAACCAGTTGAAAAGTAACAGTAACTTGACAGGATCCATCTTTCTAAAGTGAGACAAATGATACCCAGCTCCTGTGCCCATTATCTTTTACTTAATAAACAACTTCAGAGGATCTTGAAACATGGGTCACGTGTTTTTTTTGGTTGTTTTACACAATAGTGGCTTAAACACTGTGAAGTAAAACTCCTTAACTCCCCAGAGTCTTCATGATACACAAGCCACACGGAGAGCAACCCAACCCTCACGGAGCAGGGATGCTTCCTCATGGCCTCGGCTAAATGAGCAGCACCAAGAATAGCAGAACTTCAGGTGCTCAGGCATGGAGAAAGACTTTGGGTTATTTTCACAGGGATTAATTTGCCATTAGAGATCCTCAGGAATGCAGGCAATGCACATTTCCATCATGAGATGAGAGAGGACTGCTAAAGGGAAGGCAAACTACTTCTGCTTTTGGTAGAAGGGAGAAGATCTTAGTCTGCTCTCTGGATATGTAAGATTTTAAGCATCAAAATGTTTTACTCTGGGATAGTCACTTAGTAGTCTACTATACAATTACAGTCTAGTATAATATAGTTACTGGACAGCTGCAAAAATCAGATTAAGAAGTGTGAATCTGAGATATTAAAAGCCCTGTATCTCATGTATGTTCAGGCTACATGCAAGTCATAAACAACTCTTACTGCAGCCCATGTAGTGAAGAAAACAGGGGTTTAGGTGGAAGAAAACATGAAGACCCAAGCAGCTAAGAGAACAAATCCTTACATAGCAAATCATGTCTCTTTCTGAGAGGACAGAATTTTATTCAAGAATGTTTGAGAAGCCCTGCTTAAAATCATTAGCTAACTCCTTAGTAAAGGGTGAGGTAATTCAACAAAGACTACACTTCTGAGACAGTTAATCCCAAATACATCCCAATTAATACCCTCTCTATTTTCCTCAAACTCTCCTCTTGCTGAGAACAAAAAACACCAGCTGTGAAGCAAAGCGATGCTACTGTGTCTCCACCTATGTAGTTGCTATAGAAACAAAAGAAACAGCAAGAGTTAGGAGTCACACATTTCAGATCAGCTATAAAAATGAACAGATAAATCCCTGCTGAGCAATGCAGTTGCGGTTTGATTGTCTGAAGAACATTTGCAAACAGCAAGGTCAACAGCAACAAACAACTGGAGCAAAAACCTGAAATGCCTGCAAAAAAGAATGGAGATGGCAACAATTTAATGGGTTCTTTACAAGTAATAAGCATGAATAATGTATTTACTTTTCTACATCGGTGGGAGAGTGGGAATAAAGCAATTAACATCTTGGTGGGAAAGCAAAGAAAATGTTTGGCTAACAAGTATGTTTTCATAAATAATAGAAGTATCATGAATGAGACTCATATGGACACCCATGTTATGTTACTTGACATGCTTCCTACTTACATATTTAGACAGTACATTAGAATAAAGGTTGAAGAAAAAGAAATTAGCTCTCGTTTTGATAGAGCATAACAGGTCAAAACAGGAACATTCACCTAACAATAGATGGCAATACTTTAGTTTTAATGGTTATTGTTGTTATCTCCTCAGTTACAGTGGTGACACAGTTCTTAAGAGATTTGGTACAGAATTACATTCCTATGAGAGAATGTCCCTAAGGACATACCACTTTCCATACACCATTCTTTACTGTTTATATCCAAACAAATGTGTTTTCCTTTTGGAATGCATCACTGGACAAAGAATAATCTGAAATGAAAAAGCTTCTATTGTAAAAGATATTGAAAGTCTTGTAGATAAAAAGCTCTCCCCACAATTAAAGTAACTGGCTTGTCATGAGGTCTTTTCAAGTCTCAATTAATTTTAAAAAAGCAATTGTAAACAGCACAGTGTTGATACATAGATGTGCTTTCAATTCACAAGCCAAAGCCAAGAGTAGTGGTGATTTTGTCTTAGCTTTTAGCACACTGCTTTACAAATGAGAGAGGTCCTAAATGAGATGACAGCATTCCACTCCGTGGGCACTGCTTAAAAGACCACTGAGCCTTTAAGTCCAAGATTAAGGAGAAGCTGTAGACTGTTCAACAGAAATTTG